TAGCTCGAAGACTGAGCTCAGGCGGTGCCACCTCCTGACTGGGGAGGTTGCACCACCCAGTCTCGCTGGGAGGCTTAGCCCAGGCGGTGCCACCTCCTGGCCTAGGCGGTTGCACCTCCTGGTGCAATCAGGGTCCGAATGGTTAACTCCATTCGGCCCAATTTCAGTCTTTCAGGGGCCCAATTGCCCCAAGATTAAGCTAATGGGATCACCTCCCATTTTCCAACTTAATCAACGTGCTAACTACGATTAGATCTAAGATAATTTCTGCAGCTTTGCTTCGGTGCGTCAATCGCTTCTTCCGGCGAGTTTCCGGCGAACTTCCGTCGATCATCCGATGAACCCTCGGTGATGCTCCTGCAGACTTCCGGCAAACTCATGGACTTTGCGACGATCCACTTGGCAAGTTCCGACGAGCTTCGCTTGGCAAGCTTCTGGACTTCTCGGATCTGTTCTCGTAGAACCTCCGACGACCGTCCGAACTTCCGTCGAACTCTCGAACTCCCAACGTGATCATGAACTTGACTCCGGTGCAACTCCTGCTGCATGTCTAACTTTCATCGTAGTTAATCCTGCACACTTATCTCAACACATAGATTAGACAACAAATGACAATTGACTTCATCATCAAAATCCGAGATTCAACAGACCGAAGGTCGAGAGAGGCAGGGGTGGCTCTTCTTCGGGACGTTCTCCAAGGTGACTATGCTGGGGGCGTCCTTGCGACATCGGGCCATCTTTCTAGCGCCAAAATGTTAGTGAACTTTACACCATGGTCTAGGAGTCAGCACGGTTTGGTTCGGCTACGGATGTCCAAGGAGATGCCCATGAAGACTCTAAGCCGGTTGAGCGGAGCGAGTCGTCGTATACTTCCTCGTCGCTGGGACCTACACACAGGTCGAAGTTGAGGAGATGTTTTCCCGACCCAACCTCTCCGAATGTCAAGTTAGTGGAGTGAGATCTCACTCAAAGTCCTCTCTCGAATTCTTTGGGGAAAAAGCCCCCTCTAGCGTAGCCAAGTGGTTGGCTCTTATACCTATGCACGAGGGTTGATCATACAAGGTTTGTTTAATAGTTGTCGACCCCTGCAAGAGGTTAGCCCATACCTTCTGTGCGGTCAATGTCTACATTGGGGTGGCTTTGTACTTGGCGACGTCATCCTAAGTTCCCGGGGTCGGCTTTGCACCTGGCGATGCCATCCCGAGTTCCTGGGGTCGGCTTTGTACCTGGCAACGCCGTCCCGAGTTCCTAGGGCCGACTTTGTACTTAGTGGCGTCGTTCCGAGTTCCTAGATCAGCTTTGTACTTGATGGTGCTATCGCGGGTCTCTCGGTTGGGGTTGTACCCATCAATCCCTACCCGATCATAGAAAGGAGACTGAGATGGTAGAGCCTGGTTGGTCATGTTGCCGTGGATGTTGTCGTGACAGGTATATGCCAAAATATGCCCTACCAGTAATGATGCTGAATATAGTGTGATTGAGTCACCAGTTCACATAATTTTTTTCTCCCCATGTAACATTAGTTCCATAATGCGTGAGCTCCTGTACTAACCCACAAATGAAGAGGAGCATGCTAGAACATAATCGAATTCCATCTACCAGCTTAGTGATTTAGATGCACTAGTGGCCAACAATCCCTTGGGGTTGACATGATTGAATCAGGATACAACAGCTTGTTCGGAACAGAACAATTGATGAAGGCCAATCGATTCCACCAGAGGATAGTACAAATGTTTTTTCATTTCAAAGGAATGCAGATATTATTTTGATTTCAAATGATGAACTCCTAGATAGATCATGAAAGAATAAGACATCTTCGACAGAATAATCAACAGAACTATGTTATGACTCGAAAACAGAAGCACCAAATGAAGCTGCACGTATGTATACAAATTGAGCAGTCAAAATTCATGAAATCTGAATTCACTCAAGAAAAAGATGTTATAGATGAATATATCCAGAACTTTAATGAAGACAAACACAGTTGTCTCTCTTTTATATAGCTGAATCCTGGAAGGCAAAGGTATATATAATAAGGAAAATGGTAAAAGAATATTTAGCTTACTATGATGAAGCACAGAAATCCTATACTGCAACATCAAAACATCATAATCTACAGATACAGAAATCCTATGCTGAGAACTCATAGAAAAATATTCTGTATGGTTCTGATGAAAACTAGGGTTAGAGTGTTAAAGCTTTATGCTTGATGCAGTCAATAAAATAATTAAAGTTTCTACAAACACTAGATGCTACCAGAAAATCTCATCTTTGGGAACTGAAAAAATAAAAAGGCAAGAAAACCCTACCCTGGTGCTGCAAGACACCTGATGCAGAATGAACTTGGCAACTTGAATCATACACAATAAATAAACATGGATGTACAACCGACAGACAAAAAGGGCAAAAAAAGATGGAGAAACAAAGTAGTACAGAATGTTTTGCCAAAAGACTGCAACGGGCTACATGATCCATATGTAAAGAACATATACAAGAACTTTGGCCCTAAGTGCATCATCATATCCTCTCTCTAAAGAAATTGCATACTTGCTGAGCATATACATCTATAGCATAAACCAAATTTATAGTTAGCAATTTTATCTCTATCATTATGCTACTAATCATTCAACATTTCTAATTACACAAATTCAATCTTCTTTCCAAATCATCTAGAAACACAGTGCAAACCCTTGCACACTGCCAACCAAACAACAGACGAGATCAAACAAAGGATAACACCCGTAGCAATAACAATCTTTACCTGACGCCACCATAATTCACGTCCTACCAATTGTGGCCTGCTCGAGCTTAAGCTCCTCCGCAGGGGCGTTGGCTCCGTCGTCACGTCCACCTTTACATTCTTATTATCTCCGACAACACTACCATAATGCTCGTCATTCCTTTGCAGTGTTTCCTTCGTGGAAGTCGAGGCTTCATCAGAGACATTCCCCTCACAATTCTCCTCAGCCAAAAGCCAGGATTGGTGGATGTTCTCCGGTGATGCGATCAAATCCTCGATGACTCTAACCAGTTCGTCTTGGAGGCCATCCTCGGGGGCCTTCAGGAAGGCATCCCTTATGTTCTCCAGGAACTGGAGCACTGCCAAGTTGCAGACGCCAAGGTCGAGGATGGCGAGATAAGTATAGCCATCCGCCATCAAGAGCCCAACGGTCCTCACGCCGGTCGTGTGGAAGTACCAAGCGTGGAAAGCCGGGGCGTTCTCGAGGCATTCGGCGGCCAAGATCTCCAGCTCCGGGCCTCCGCTGTTGTAAGAACACATTGCTCTGTTCCCTTGGGCGACGCAGCAGTAGACCGTGTTATGGATCGGCGGACTCATCCGAGATCTCCTCCGCCTCTATGACTTGTGCCTCTATGACTTGTGAATTGGATGAAACAAATTCGCCCTCGCTTCTAATGTCGAAACGAAGAATTGGACAAAACTATGTATCCCAAGAACAAGTCTTGATCTTAGGGTCTTGGGTTTGTGCCCACGGACAATCTCAAACGATTCCTAGGGGATCTCAAGCCAGGGATTGAAGACGATACCCCCAAATCTAGCAATTCCTCGACATGAATTTCGTTCGAGGATAAAAAATTGCGACTGAAGAACGATTTTTTCCTTCTTCTTTCGCCTCCGGAACAAATTGGAGAGAAAAGAAAACGCCCTCTTAACTCCCGAATCTAATCTAATGCACTTCCAAATGCAGGTTCCTGAACAGAGAGACAGAGATGCAGTAAAGAGTAGTACCAAGAACAGGTGATCGATTGCCTGGTAGCACACGTTGACGTTGGGACTTGACTTCGATCACCACCCAAACGTCCACCTCGCGCCATTTCCAAGAGCTCGATAGAGACTGCTTTCACGTGGATGCCTTCTATAGGCGGCGAGGGGCACTCGCAGCACTTCTCCTATCCGTGTCTGTTTCACCCGCGCTGTTACCTGCCTCGTGATTCGTGGTGTCGGGCGACCCCACACCGTTCCTGGACCAACCAGGCAGGTAGGTCAACAGGTAACCAATTAAAGAAAGAGATCCAAATTGATGGTTGAGTGATGGATTACACCTCTGATTGACTCACTCTTCTTCAATAGACTAGCAATGAATGTATTGACCGGCCAGCCACTTGAACCTGTCAAAGACGTTCGTTGGGTCAATCAAGACAAGGTTAGAAGTTCTTCCTTTGTGTCAATGTTTTGATCTTCAACTTGTTTGTAAAGTGAAATAGACACGAGGAAAGCTTACGTGAGTTGATTAATAAGACAGTAAAATTTTGTCAAAATGTCAAATCAAGTGACATATACATGAGGAAAGCTTACATGACTCTTGATGAAAAGATAGTGTAAAATGTACAGTTAGGCCCAACTCTTACTTTGTCTTTCCACCATTCCATTTGAACATTTCATCAAGCAGGCTGTTAGCAAAGGGAAAAGGGAAAGCATCCTGAGCTTCTTGTTGCTGCTGTAGCTTGATATGTCAATGTTGTTGGCAAATTGATTCTGGTCTAAGAGCAACAGAACCACACAAGGCACAAAATACCTGCTCAATCTGCTGAACATCAATCAATTTTGTGAGAAAAGCAGCAAGACAGTTGAAAATGTCAAAACACCATGTACAGTTCAAAGACATGTAGTTGGCCAGCTTAATCAACCAGCAATGAGGATACTATTTGGTTGCAATAGGCACATATATCTTTAAGTTTCTGATGATGTGACTTTAATGGCTCTCCTCAAACTTCCAAATCTATTTGACAATGTTACCAAGAATTATATCTCCTTTTTCTCTATGAAATCAACATTCAGATAAGGAACACTAAAATGCTTTAGCTTTTCTTGTATGCTGTAGAAAACCTTCTTAACATGTTTTAGGTCCTTCCTGTCTTTATACTGACAAAGAATGTGTTATTTATATACACCCAAATTAATCTTATTTTTTTCAGAGGAATAAATTATGTCATAATTCTTCTGGTCTAATTCCTTGGATTAAAACATAAGAAACCAGGTACGAAGCAAGTAATAAATTTATGATTATTTCTTTTGCAAGCAATATTTCTTTGGAAGAGTAGACAACAGTCATGAAGTGACCACATGAAACCAGTGAAAATCCCAAGCAAGTCTAATGCAATCAATGCATGAGAAGGAACGATCAACAAGAAGATGGGAAGTGGAACAGTCACCTGTTATGAGATTATATAAATTCTAACCAGTCTTTTTTCTTTTTCTGCCCTAGTGAGCTTTGACATTTCTCAACATGTTCATTTTACCTCAACATTTCCATCATGTTCCACTTTTCTACTAACCACAGTGATCTCAACAACATGCTCTCTCCAATCTTACAATAGATATAAAGCTTAATATCCTCTTGAAACCTCAAGCAGTGAATATAGTCATTTGAAAGCAAAACCTACACCATAAAGCAAAACCACCAAATGCCCAACCATTTCCTGTGAATTGAAGTGGCAGCTACAATCCTAATAACCCCACATCTCCATAACCTCCATGAGATAGATACCTCAAGTTCCTTCAGTGCATTACCTGAGAAGTTCATTTTAGTCTCCTACAAAAGCTTCTCAATTAACTAGCAATCCTCGAATAAACACATCTAAACTCATTACAATTATCATTTAAAATGATCAAATACTGCACTTGAAAAGCATAAGTAATTTGAACCTCTATAACATTTCCATCGAATCTCTGCCGACCACTATTTCTAGTTTCTACAAATGAAAAATCTACTCGGTTTTTACTCACAGCAATGCCATCAAATTGATATGGCGACCGCAAGCATGGGTGGAGACCCGGAGTACGAATTTGGCGACGCAGCAGGTTCCAGGAATAGCCGGAAGTACTGTCCTGTTGAATCGAGAAAGCATAAGAAAGGCAGAGGATCTTGAATCAAAAAAGCAGACAAGAGGGGTCGAGGTTGAGGAAGGCGAAGCGAACCAGCTCCAGATGCCGATCTTGAAGGCATCGGAGAGCGGCGATAGTAGCAGCGAAAGAAAAGAGGATCTTGAATCGAGAAAATAGAGGCAAGCGGCCGAGAGCGGGGAGGGAACCAGTATAATACATTAATTGCTGCTATAAAGAAAAGGATCATGAAATTAGCTTAGGAAAAAAAGGTCCCACCGGGATTCGAACCCAGGTCGCCAGATTCAAAGTCTGGAGTGCTAACCACTACACCATGGAACCCAATTATGTCTTTCATTTTATAAAATTATATATATAATTAATAGTAAAAGAAAAGGTTAGCAGGAACTTAAATTAAACCCAATAAAAAATATTCGAGTACAATTCCGACGAAATATGGATATTTTAAGGAAATTCAACCCACGATTATTCCTAAACGAATATAAAAAATCAGACTAAATTAAAGTTATGTTAAAAAAAATATTAGGAAGAAAAGACCTCTTTATCGACAATCTCAATAATTACATGACATATCATATGTAAAAGTCGATGTATGTGATTTTATGTTTTTTCTCTGGAGAAAATTAATTTTTTAATATTATAATAGATTTTGATTATATGATACGGAGAAGGGTTAAGAGTCAACCAAGATGCACTTTCTAATGTCTTAGGTTAAGTGCCAAAGAAACAAAAAAAAAAAAATAGTCGGAGACCCTTTAGGAGCAGTATTAGATTTCTTTTGATGTTTATGTTTATATACACCGAAAGGATTGGATCAATGTGTTTAGTCAAATAATACTTATTGTCAAAAATATATGAGGATCTTTTTATAGTACAACAAATAATCATCAGATTGAGATCGTGATAAACGCCAGGAATGATGATACACGTTATCCAGCCAATAATAAGATGATAAAATTATGTGTCAAATTTAGAGATATAGGATGATGATTTACTAAATCAACTTTGCAATCAGGAACAGGTCAGCCTCATAAACTTGAATAATCTGAGTAGACTTCCTTAGTAGCTCCATGGTGAATGAGATTGGAATCTTGGTCACGTAGAGATGAGCGGAGATGACGTACCGCTATACGAGGATGACATGTCAACGATAACTTACTTGTCATATCTCCCTTTAACAAAAGCTTTAAGGGATTTTTTTTTCATTTTTTTTGCGCTAGAAGAATTATCTTGTGAAATTAGAAAGTGGGCAATTGCTTATCTTATAAAATACATATTTAATAGCACTATATATATACACACACGCTAACGAAGGCTGAATAATCTTATTCTGTGCAACAAAAATGCAGGTCATAGATCATTCATGTTTGCTTCATTCAAGCTATTCTTACAAATATAGCAATCGGTTTCAATTATCTCAAATAAACTTGATGAATATGATGAGAATCGCTTGATATTATAATATATGACTATAAATTTAATATTATATATAAACATACTAATTGTATATTATTTCATGTAGTTAGTTATCTTTAGCATTCTATACTTTAAAAAATTTTATTAACATCTATATAGTTATAAAAGTGAAACATTTAGATCAATTTATTTTGATGACATCAGTTTTACTAATAAAAATATAAAAATAAAAGATAAAATAATAATTTCAATATTTTAATTGAGGATGGCGGACTGTCACAGACAAACTTCAAAACAGGATGTTTGATGTAATGTTTATGTATGTCTGTGTCTTTTGGTATGTTTATGCTTTGCACAGCATGTAGAGGGACGATCGAAGGCTTAATAGTCCCATTTTAATTGGGTTTGGTGGCCGCTTTAGGCTTATAAATAAAGGTAGTGTCATGTGGATACTTGTGAGATATTTTCAGTCTGTAGTAGACTATTTTGACCATTTATTGTGCAACTGTTCAGAACTTGTAAAGTCTGTTTATAATTTTGCATTGTCTATGAAGTCTGTTTTCGTTTCCTGCTTGTTTTAGAAGCAGTGGTTGTTTTTTTTCGTGTCAATGATAGCTTACCTGTCATATCTCCCTTTAACAAAAGCTTAAAGGGATTTTTTTTTTCGTGTTTTTTTGCCCTAGAAGAATTATCTTGTGAAATTAGAAAGTGGGCAATTGCTTATCTTATAAAATACATATTTAATAGCACTATATATATACACACACACGCTAACGAAGGCTGAACAATCTTATTCTGTGCAACAAAAATGCAGGTCATAGATCATTCATGTTTGCTTCGTTCAAGCTATTCTTACAAATATAGCAATCAGCTTCAATTATCTCAAATAAACTTGATGAATATGATGAGAATCGCCTGATATTATAATATATGACTACAAATTTAATATTATATATAAACAGGCTAATTACATATTATTCTATATAGTTAGTTACCTTTAGCATTTTATACTTTAAAAAGTTTCATTAACATCTATATAGTTATAAAAATGAAACATTTAAGTCAATTTACTCTAAAAACAACGGTTTTATTAATAAAAATATGAAAATAAAAATAATAATTTTAATATTTCAATTGGGGGTGACAGATATCAACATCGCTAGGTCCATTGGTGACTATTATAGATGAAAAGAGCAATGATAAAAGGTGAGGACTGCTCTACATTTGTATCGATGTCGACATAATTATCGAGTAGTCTTTTTGTCATTTTGCATTTGCGTTGGCATCGACACAATTTAGATCGAACAGTTCGAGATGACTAAGTTCCTCTTGGAAACCAATGATGAGTTTGAAATCGAATACGATGAGCCCGATGAAGGCTGAAGCGGAGATGACGTAGCGAAAACGGTGATGCTGGTGTTCACGCTGCTGCTGGTGACAGCCGCCAAGCCACCATCTGCGGCCTTCGGAGCCGGAGGCCTGTCTATGGCCAAAACCCCTTCCAGCATCTGCACAACCTTCCCCATCGACGGTCTCTGCGAGGGCTGCTCCTGGATGCACTAGAAGCTCACCAGTAGCGCCCTCTTCAGCTGCTCCATGTCCACGTCCTGCTCGGCGAGCCTCTTGTCCATGGTGCTCTTGATGTTTCCCTTCTCCAGCTCTTCGTACCCGCACACCGAGAACTTCTTCCGGCCAGTGTCATCCGAAACATCGAAGTTGCGCTGCCCGCTCACGATCTCCAGCAACACCATTCCGAAGCTGTACACATCCGACTTGGATGTGATCGGGAGATTCGCAAGCCATTCGGGAGCCAAAGTACTCTCTGGGCTTGTCAAAAGCACCGCCACTTATACGTAAAATGTTTCTCAAAAAAAAAATCTTAAAATTTCACTCTGATATCAGAGCCAGGTTTCGATCCTGGGACCTGTGGGTTATGGGCCCACCACGCTTCCGCTGCGCCACTCTGATTGCTATTTTTAGAGAATTCTAGCAGACAAATCTAAATAACAGATGCAATGTCCAGAAACGCACAAATTATTGAGCTTATGAACAAACTGGTTAGGAGGGCTGTGTATGCGTGTGTGAATATAACATCCAAATAGGAGAAAAAAAAAGAAGAAAACTGTCAATATAACAAGACATAAAACATATAATGACTTTTATATAAGTTAGGCATGGAGAGTGTTGGAGAACAAATGTGTCGTGGCGGGTGAGTCAGCACGGCCTGGTCCACGGGTCGATGTCGGGAGTTCTCTGTCAGTTGAGTTGGACGCTGAGGTGGGTCGGGCCTTTGTAATAGGGTGTTGATCAGCGTTTCTCGGTCCGGGCATCGTCTGCATCAAGCAGCGTCCCTCCGTTCTTGGGCTGGTTGATAGCTCACTCTCGTTCACTGAATGACGATTCTCGGGTCGAGACGCTCGTGGCTTAGGGGTGGTCGCTTGCCTGCAAAAAAGGCCTTTGTCGGGTGATTCCCGACTTTGGTCTCTTTAATGAGCAAGTCAGTTATGGGTTGAAATTATTTTTCTACCTCCCCTTGGCCAGATGTCGGCCAGGGGCTTTTATACTATTGTACGAGGGTAGGTAGCACGTGGGTTCGACGTGGCCCCTGATCTTCGAGAGTTAAGATGGCACTTCTGATCGACCGTTGTCTCGGGACGCACAGAGCGGTGTCAGATGGGACATGTGGAACAACATCTCGGTATGGATTTTGACTTGGCATGTGGGGGTGTTCCCCTTACTGATTCTCAGGTTGGCGTGGTGGTACGTGGGTCAAACAACGCCTTAGTACGGATTCTGACCTGGCGTGTGGCATCGGCTGTGACGTGTCTTGGACCCAAAATACACCTTATCACTTCTCTCCCCCCGCCCCGTCAAGCCGTGTTGTGGGGTCCCTAAAGGGCCGAGAGGCATGCTTGGGTCGGATTGCTGTGATTGTGTTGATTACTTGGAACCTGGATTGGCTCGTCATGGGGCGGTTTGGAGGGGCAGCGCCCCATGCCTCGGGAAGGGCTGACTCTGCTGATCGGGCGGTCGAGGCTAGATGAGGTGAGACCAACGTATCATAAGTCAGATAACCGGTTTGGCATAGCTCGGAATTGGGGCCGGCGAGTCGTAAGTCATGGATTGCGATGGAACAAGTCACAAGACGCAAGTCGCAAGTCGGGGATCGGCGAGTCACAAGTCGAGGATCGAACTGGAGCGACTCGGTTGATGACTGGGCCTACGGGCCGAGTAACTGAGCTCGGGCTTGGGTTTTGGTGCCGACAGGTCGCAAATCGGAGATCGGGCTGGAGCGACTCGATTGAAGATTGGGCCTGCGGGCCGAGTGACCAGGCTTGGGCTTGGGTTTTGGTGCCGATGGGTCGCAAGTCGGGATCGAGCTGGAGCTACTCGATAAGAGATTTGATGAGTTGCAAGTCGGAGATCGAACTGGAGCGACTCAGTCAAAGATTTGACGAGTCGCAAGTCAGAGATTGAGCTGGAGCGACCTGGGTAGGAGCTGGACCTATGGGCTGAGTGACTAAGCTCAAGCTCAGGTTTTGTGCTAGCGGGTCACAGGTCAGGAATCGATCTAGAGCGACTCGGGCAGGAGCTGAACCTGTGGGCCGAGTGACTAAGTTCGGGCTCAGGTTTTGTGCTGATGGGTCGCAAGTCGGGAACCGATCTGGACCACCCATGTAGGATCTGAACCTATGGGCCGAGTGACTAAGCTCGGGCTCAACTTTTGTGCCAATGGGTCGCAAGTCGGGAA